GTCAAAGCAAGGCTTTGGGAATGTTTTTTATGAGAGTATAACATTATAACATGATATAAAACTCAAAAAAGTTGATCTTACATGATATTGCCCCTTTAAAGAATAAACTGCACATTGAAGTCAACAGCAAACTCACAGGTTTGACAGAAACTCAAACATTAAATTACTTATTCCAACTATTTCTTTAACTTTCTTCATACTTCACAAAATCTTATTGGTAAAAATTTTGGCAAAAATATCAAAGATTCTTCTAAAAAAATGTAATGTAAAACTGATGGTGCTCACATAAAATATTTTTTATATGCCTTTTTAAGGTGAGAGACAGTCTTGGCCATTGCTTAGACTTAGAAATTGACTATTTGTTCAAAGAGTCAAAGAGTTATCTACAACAGTTAAATACTTTGGAAAAAGCATGAAGAATAGAATATATTGTCAGCTTTATTCAGTTTATTGTGCGTTCATATTTTATTTTATACTTTATTAAATTTTACCTTGACTATAAAACACCACATGCATTAAATTCACCTCAAATTTCAGCAGCAATATGCTTCTTACTGCAGAGCAATTATCTGACATTTAGCATCCCTGCATCAAGGACCTGATCGTGTAACAGCACATCAATCTCAGGGGTGATGGATGCATTCGAACACCCTGAAGAATCACAACTTTTTATGGCCCATTAGAGCTACAGAGCCATCACTGATACTGGTCAAGCAGCAAGAAAAGAAACGGAGCGTGAGCTCACTCAGATGGATGTGGTCAGGTGAAAGCAGGAGGAGGGGAAAAAGATCGAGAACGGTTCTTGACCGATTTCTCTCCGGTGTTTGTGGTCCCTGYAGTGATTCAGAACCATCGCTCATGAATCAACACAAGCTGGCCTTACAGGTGAAGGCAACGCTACAAACCAGCTGGCCCTTGCAAGGATTAGCAGGCTTAAGTGTACCGGAGGCTAGGGAACACCAAACACAACACTGACATTGAGGAGACAATGGCTCCTAATAAAGCAGAGCTGGCAGGTACTGAGAGGGCTTTTATCGGACCGCACTTTAAYGGTGAAGAGGAGTTCTTGTGTTGACAAAGTGTCTTAAAGCAGCGGCTCAAACATCGAGGTGAGATAAAGTCTCTGAGGAGAATAAAAAGAATATCTTACTGTAGTTTGACATGTAGGATGAGTCAAAGGATCTGAACGTGTCCGAGGATGGACTCGGGTCAATGATCCAAGAAGATGGAGACCCAAACTCAGCATCAGACCAATCCTGTAAGGAAACAGGGAAAAAAATAAATTTTGTAGCAGAAAATATCATCTGAAGCATGTTGAGCATTTAAACTGACTTTCATGTTTCTTTTAGTAACATCACAAAACCATCAATCAGACCTGGAACCAAACAAGGAACCTGTCTGCTGGAGCTTGCTAGAAAATAAGAGTCCTGTGCAAAAGTCTTGGGTCATCACTCCTTTCTTTACATTTTGCTTTCAAGCAGCTAAACTCTGTTGTGAGCTTGTGAGAGACGCAGGAGGAGTGAATCACCTGCTTTCTGTGGGTTTAACGTGAGATAACAACGGCATTTGTTGACATTAT